TGTGTAAGTTTGCTGACGGCGGTCAGAAGAAGAGACAAACTCAGAGCAAATATCCACAGAATGGCCGAGCGTGGAGGGAAGGAGAGGTGAGATCTCACACACACACACACACACACACACACACAGAGTGAGTCATTTACAGGAAACCATCATCGTCATCATCGTGTCCTGAGGCGCAGCTCATGCCCCTGCTGCGTGTCACACTAATGCAGCACAGACGCACCCTGAACATCTGCAGACAGCTGCTCTTCATCACCAGTGCGCTTCTGTAGTTTAGAGTTCAGTATATTTAGAGTAGTTTCAGTTTTGTGAATATATTAAAATAGGGCTGCACGATAAATCGAAATTAAATCGCGATTAAGCAAAAGCTGCAATTGTCATGCGCATCTTGTAGCATGGTTCTGTGATCAGCAGTAAATTTCTATCCAAAGGCCAGAGAAACTCCAAATACGCCCCGCAGAAGAAACCCAGGAAATGCCTATAGAGGTTGCTGAATAAACAGAAGATTCAACTGCTTTCATTGATTCAACGTGACTAATAAACTCACGACTATGGCAATATATGGTTTATCTGAGTTCTGCTTATTATAATTTTGCTTATAATAAAGTATATAATAATGCAGTGTCTTTATCACTGCTTAGAATACTGTGAAATATATTGCGTTCCTTATTCTGTGTAAGAAGCCACATCATCTCACAGAAGGATTTATTTCAAACACTCGACTGACATTATGAAGTGAGTTTGGAGTAAAAACATGTTATTAAATGTGGTATTTTCACCTGCTTTCAGATGGAGCAGCATTTACTACACAGAGACGTAGTTCATGGAGAAAGCTACATTGAATCGCAGAACGATTTCTTTGATTTCAATATCGCGAAATTAAATTGTCTGTGATAATGAATGCGATATTGCGTAGGTTGCCAGTGAACTACGGCTCTGTGTAGTAAATGCTGCTCCATCTGAAAGCACGTGAAATACCACATTTAATAACATGTTTTTACTCCAAACTCACTTCATAACGTCAGTCGAGTGTTTGAAATAAATCCTTCTGTGAGATGATGTGGCTTCTTACACAGAATAAGGCACGCAACATATTTCATAGTATTTAAGCAGTGATAAAGGCATTGCATTACAAATATACTTTATTTTAATGAAAATTATAATAATAAGAACTCAGATAAACCGTATATTGCC